AGAGCTGACTCATTTGAAAAGACCCTGATGCTGGGAAAGATTGAGGGCAGGAGGAGAAGGGGACAACAGAGGATGAGATGGTTGGATGGCATCACTGAATCGATGGACATGAGTTTGAGTAAGCTCCGGGAGTTGGTGATGGATGGGGAGGCCTGGCGTGTTGCAGTCCATGAGGTCGAAAGAGTCGGACATGACTGAGTAAGTGAACTGAACTGAACTGATATATGTATACATGGTCATATTAAGTTGCTTATCTATTAAGTTTAAATGCATTTGAACAACTCCGCATTTTCCCCTCACAATGTGTGCTGATTTTACATCACATTTTATACCATTTTGTTTTGTGTATCCCTTAACATAGCCTCCCAGGTGACTGTGTGGCAAAGAATCCATTTGCCAATGCAAGAGAAACGGGTTTGATCCCTGGGTCGGGAAGATTCCCTTGGAGAAGGAAATGGCAACCCACTACAGTATTCTTGCCTGGGCAATCCCAAGGACAGAGGAGCTTGGTGGGCTACGGTTCATGAGGTCGTAAAAGAGTCAGACACGACTTTAGCAACTAAAACAACAATCCTTAAACTACTCATTGTGGATATAGATAATTTTACCCCATTTGCCTTTTTACCTTCCTTATACCTTCATGCATTGTTTATTTACTACCTTTACTGTATATTTGCTTTTACCAATGAGATTTTTACTTTTGTGATTGGCTCGTAAGGTTTTAACTCTAATACTTTGGCCACCTCATGTGAAGAGTTGACTCACTGGAAAAGACCCTGATGCTGGGAGGGATTGGGGGCAGGAGGAGAAGGGGACGACAGAGGATGAGATGGCTGGATGGCATCACCAACTCGATGGACATGAGTTTGAGTAAACTCCGGGAGTTGGTGATGGACAGGGAGGCCTGGCATTCTGTGATTCATGGGGTCGCAGAGTCAGACACGACTGAGTGACTGAACTGAGATGAACTGAACTGTAAGGTTTTATATTTTGAGTTGTAACCTTTTCTTTTTTGCTTTTAACATTTAACATTTGTTGTAAAGTTGGTTTGGTTAGTGTTTATAAGCTACAGGAAGGATTCCAAAATAGTATTTGCCAGCACCAGTGTCCTCATGGTAGAATGAGCTCCCCCAAATTGTTGTTGGCACAGTCTATGTCCTTGGGGCAAGCCTCTGCTGCCTTCTACCTCTTCCAAGGTCTCTCCAAGATCAGCATGTTGGTCTGATCGAGGCTTCTTTCAAATTACTGCTTCTGCTCTAGTTCCTACAGGATGTGAGAATCTGTGTGTGCCTTTATGTGTGGAGTCTTTATCTCCTATAGCCCTCTGGCTCTCCTGAAAGCAAGCCCTGATTGCCTTCAAAGCCAATTGTTCTGGAAGAATCATCTTCCCAGTGCAGTACCCTCAGATTGGAGAGCCCAATTTGGGTCTCAAAATTCTTAATTCTTTGGAAGAACATCTGCAATTGTAATTATCCTCCCATTTGTGGGGCTTTCTTTGTGGCTCAGCTGGTAAAGAATCCACCTGCAAAGCAGGAGACCTGGGTTTGATCCTTGGGTTGGGAAGATCCCCTGGAGAAGGGAAAGGCTACCTACTCCAGTATTCTGGCCTGGAGAATTCCATGGACTATATAGACCACGCGGTCAGAAAGAGTCAGACACAACCAAGCGACTTTCACTTTCACTTTGTGGGGTGTCCACCCAGATGTGTGGTTCTTGACTGTATCACATTTCCACCTCTCCTATCCACCTTATTGTAGTTCCTTCTTTATATCTTTAGTTGTGGAAGCTATTTTCTGCTAGTCTTCCAGTTTTTTCTCATCAATAATTTTTCTTTCAATAGAGATGAATGGATAAACAAGCTGTGGTACTTACATACAATAGGATAACACTCGGCCATAAAAAGGAACGCATCTGCATCAGTTCTAATGAGGCGGATGAACCTAGAGCCTATTATACAGAGTGAAGTAAGTCAGAAAGAGTAAAACAAATATTGTATGTTAACACATATATGGAATCTGCAAGGATGGTACTGATGAACCTGTTTGCAAAACAGCAATGGAGACACAGACATAGAGAACAGACTTGTGGACAATGTTGGGGGAGAAGAGGGAGATGGTGAGATGAATGGAGAGAGGAGCGTGGATGCACACACACTAGCACATGTAAGCAGACAGCCAGTGGGAATTCGCGGTGTGACTGGGGAACTCTGACGGGGGCTGTGCAATAGCCTGGAGGGAGAGGGTGAGATGAATGGAGAGAGGAGCGTGGATGCATACACACTAGCACGTGTAAACAGACAGCCAGTGGGAATTTGCTGTGTGACTCGGGAACTCTGACGGGGGCTGTGCAATAGCCTGGAGGGAGATGGTGAGATGAATGGAGAGAGGAGCGTGGATGCATACACACTAGCACGTGTAAGCAGACAGCCAGTGGGAGTTCGCTGTGTGACTGGGGAACTCTGACGGGGGCTGTGTAATAGCCTGGAGGGAGAGGGTGAGATGAATGGAGAGAGGAGCGTGGATGCATACACACTAGCATGTGTAAACAGACAGCCAGTGGGAATTCGCGGTGTGACTGGGGAACTCTGACGGGGGCTGTGTAATAGCCTGGAGGGAGATGGTGAGATGAATGGAGAGAGGAGCGTGGATGCACACACACTAGCACATGTAAACAGACAGCCAGTGGGAATTCGCTGTGTGACTCGGGAACTCTGACGGGGGCTGTGTAATAGCCTGGAGGGAGATGGTGAGATGAATGGAGAGAGGAGCGTGGATGCACACACACTAGCACGTGTAAGCAGACAGCCAGTGGGAATTCGCTGTGTGACTCGGGAACTCTGACGGGGGCTGTGCAATAGCCTGGAGGGAGAGGGTGAGATGAATGGAGAGAGGAGCGTGGATGCACACACACTAGCACGTGTAAACAGACAGCCAGTGGGAATTTGCTGTGTGACTCGGGAACTCTGACGGGGGCTGTGTAATAGCCTGGAGGGAGATGGTGAGATGAATGGAGAGAGGAGCGTGGATGCACACACACTAGCACGTGTAAGCAGACAGCCAGTGGGAGTTCGCTGTGTGACTGGGGAACTCTGACGCGGGCTGTGTAATAACCTCGAGGCGTGGGAACTGACGGGACGTGCGAGGGAGATTCAAGAGGGAGGGGACATGTGTATACCTATGGTTAATTCATGTTGATGTATGACAGAAATCAAACCAATATCGTAAAACAATCAATTAAAAATAAATATTTTTTAAAAAGAGAAAAAATACTTTCTGTCAATAGCTGTAAATTTGGTGTGCCTGTGGGAGAAGCCGAGCTCAGGGCCTTCATACTCTTCCATCTGGGCCGCTCCTCTTAGCCTTTTAATATATCTCTCACCTCTGTATTTTTGATAAAAATTAGCTGTTAATGTTATTGAAATCCTTTGCTACTTTCAAGATTCTCTTTGTCTTTGTTTGATTGTGTTATGTTTGATTATGCTTGATTGTCTTATGTTTGATTATGATGTGTTTTGCTGTGGATCTTTTGTATTTATTCTACACAGAGTTTGCTGATCTTCTTGGATATGTAGACTAATATTTTTTAAATAAAATTTGGAAAGTTTTCAGGAATTATTTTTAAAATATTATTTTTATCCCTTTTCTTTCTTTCTTCTCCTTTCTGGGATTTTATTTATGAGTATGGTGGTGCTCAGATAGTGTTCCTCCACAGACCTCTGAGGTTCTATTCAATTTTTTTCAGTCTTTTTCTGTTTCTTAGACTAGATAGACCTTCCCTGGTGGCTCAGAGGGTAATCTCAATTGATCTGTGTTTAAGTTTATTGATTCCAATTTCTGTCTCTTTGAACAAGTTGTTGAGCTAGTGAATTTATCATTTTGGTTATACTTTTCTAATCCACAATTTCTATACATTCCTTCTTATAATTCTTTACCTCTTTATTGATATTTTATATTTAGTGATATATCATCCTTACTATACCTTTCTTTGATTTTTTAGACATGGTTTCTTTTAGAATATTTTTCTTGGATTTCCCAGTTATTCTTTAAAATTATAACGCTTGTGTTCACATCTTTATTATTCACAAGAAAAGAATTGGGGACAGGGTTTTCACCGTAATAAAGCTTCCTGTTCCTCAACATAGCAGCAGTACTTCTCACTGACTCAGAGACTGCTGGGCATCTAATCCTAATATCTTTTATTCACAATGAATTCTTTCTCCATCTCAGGAACAGTTCCCAAAACCAGCCATAATATATTCATAGTATTGGTTTCCATTTCCCTTTGAAAACTGAGTTTTCTTTGCCTCATTAACCAAGGCAATATCACTCATATGGGTAGCAGACTTTTGAGTGGGGGCTTAGAAGCTGGAATATAGATAGAAAGAAGTTGGTTTTAAGAGAAATCAGGGAAGAAAGACTTGATACCTAGAACCATAGCAAAGAGATGAATGTTGTTATATGAGGTGGGGGGGGTGGGTAGGGAGTGGTGACCATCCGTGGCAACAAAGCCTTTTATTTTCCTGACTCAGGAGCTGAGGGAGAAGTTATGAGAGGAGAAGGTGATTTTTATAGAGATTCATGAGAGACAAAAAGAGAAAAGGGACTCCCCTGGTGGCTCAGACCGTACAGCGTCTGCCTACAATGCCGGAGACCGGGTTTGATCCCTGGGTTTGGAAGATCTCCTGGAGAAGGCAATGGCAACCCACTCCAGTATTCTTGCCTGTAAAATCCCATGGACAGAGGAGCCTGGTAGACTATGATCCGTGGGGTCTCAACGAGTCGGACGCGACTGAACGACTTCACTTTCACTTTCTTTCATGAGAGACAAAAAGAGAAAAGAGGTTTAGTGCCCAAAATGTGTTCTGTGTGTGAATACATTATTATGTGTGCATGGATGGGAGTGGGGAGGCATGGCTATGTATGTACTAACTGGAGGCTGGCTAATGATCCCACTCCAGAGAAGCTAAGCCCAACTATACTTTCCTGAGAAGAGTATTGGTGCCAAGTCCTAGCCCATTCCACTCCATTTCATTATCCAGCTCCTCATGCTTCCGCTCTGGGTACAAGGAGCAGGGAGCACTGGTTTCAATTCCCCGACCCTGGTCCATTTGGATAATCAAGTGTAATTCTAGGAGGCTCTGGGTAAAGGTCACCAACCGTAACTTATAAGACAGAACATAGGAGTCCAAAAGTCACTAAATAGACCAGCAATAACAGACGTGAAGAAGGAACTCACTTTCAAACGAACTATGCATGTTAAACTATACTGTGAACTAATAGAGAATTGCTTTTCCAGAATTCCAGCAGGAAGAAGACATTAAAGGAGAAAAATGGAAACCGTAAGCACCAGGCGAGAAGTGCTTTCCCTCTATTTAAAATTGTATATAGAGAAATGAGTTTATAGGAAGATGAAAGTGATTTGTGTCTTTTTTTTCATTTTAATACATAAATAGTATTAACTTAGAAACTGCTTGATGATTTTACAGGAAAGTTATTTTTTAATTTTCCCACTCTAGCTGTTTGAGGAGGTGGATGTTAGGGATTTAGATGCCGAGAGGAATGATTTTTAGAAACTTACCATACTTCTGTGGAAAGTGGTCTTTTCACTTGGTCTCATTGTGGATAAACATATGCATGACATACTTAAGTAACAGGACATAAAGACTGGGAAAGGTTAGTAACACCCCCCAAAGAAGAGCTAACTAAATTTTCTTGCAAGTCAGCAGGTAACTTTTAAGACCCTGTTTATAAATCCTGCAACAGGACAGCAGGAAAATATGGTTAAGTAAAATTTTATGCATAGACCTGATATTCTGAATAGAATTGTCACACAAGGAAGTTCAAAAATCAAGATTACATTTTAACGAATTTTCACTGCTAGTGGTTATTGAGTAACATTTTTGGCGGGAAATGCTCCTTTTAGTTTCAGAATTCAGGGAATGAAATACTCCAAATGCTGGTGAAGGTTTTATCATCAAATTTCATGGGCTTTCCACTCCATCCTATTATCCAGCTCCTCACGCTTCCCCTCTGGGTACAAGGATCAGGTAACTTTTTACTTTTTCTCTCAAATGCACTTGGCTCAAAATCAATGACAAATAAATGCCAGCCTGTATTCTTTTTACCTGTATAAGGTTAGATGAAGAGGACATTATGTTTGGGTCTGCATGTTAACCATGTAGCTATCCAAGTTGTTGGCAACTAGCAAACAGTTTAAGTTTAACATATTTGAAATGGTGACTTAGTAAACAGAAAATGAATGAAATGTAATAAACACTTCTTCTGAATTGAGCCCAAGTAGCTCAAACTAGGCAGCCAGAAACCTATTTGAAGCAAATGAATTCTTTGCACATTGGTTAGTTCGTTTTGTATTATTCCTTGTAACTCATTTGCTGTTTAAGTTTGATTTGTTCTTAGGCTCTTCTTGGTCGTTAAGAAGTTCTTCATTTTTGTGTGTTGTCGAATCTGTTGGGACTTTTGGTGGGTTTGCTTATCGTTACAAACTGAGGTACACCGCAAACACATGGATGATGTAATAAGTACTCAAGCCTTGTCATTTTATGGTCACTTAAAAATAATTTTATTAAAGATATTTAACTCAAATTCATCTGAAGTCAGTTTGATTAATGGTAACAGCAATAATTAACGTTCTATAAGGAACAGCAGAATTTAAAAAATATCATGATAACTTCTTATTAAGAATTTTTTCATGGGGAAAGTATCATTTGAATTTAGCTAGATGGTTTAATCAAAAGCTGAATGTGGGGTAACATGCTGAGGACATAAAATGTGATAGGTAAAGAAATCATTATGTTCAGGTTTCTTCTTCTTAACTTACTGCTGCATCTAAAATGCAAAATGGAGAAGATTATTACCAAACAATTCAGAATCTAGTGACCAGTGTGCAGAAAGCAATGATGAAGGGGTGTGTTGCGCAGGCATGCATCGCTATGGGGTGGGTGATAGCTTGCTGCTCTTGCACGTGTTTCTTTTGACTTCTCTTACATTTCCTGTCTTTCCTCCAGGGCAGGGACTACATCACCTGTAATGGTGAACGTGCCTATGGTTATTTATACCTGGCATTACGGCTGTATATGCTCTTTTAATATTCACAATACCCTGTGAGTTAGGTGCCATTAAGCCCATTGTTTCAGATAAAAATCCTAAGCAGGAAGATAAAAGATTGCTACAAGACCACACTTCTTAAAAGTAACCTAGGTAAGACATCATCACAGTCTTTTATTGACTGATGAAATACTGTGTATGCAACAAATGTATTGTCTATATTTAAATGTTCTACAATGCTGTGTACATAGTTCCAGACTAATAAAGTTTTAAAAAATACTTGAAAAAATGTGTTCATAATTTGAACATGAAAAATCAAAAGAAGTAGATGAAAAGCAGAGAACATATCATGAGGTAAATAAAGTACATGACAATTTTTTTTTCAACCTTCACATTTCAGTAAAACAGAAATACATGGAAGTGTATAAATGTAAGGATATAGTTTGATTCATTTTCACAGTGGTCCCACCAATATATCCAGCACAGATCAAGAACAGAACGTTACTCATGCCCACTTCCTTTCACTGTCTTCTCCTAAGAGTACCACCATCTTAACTGCTTACACCATGGATTCACTTTATCTGTCATTAACTCTCTCTTACCAAACATGATATTGTCTAACTTCCATGTTAGTTATTCTGGTGCATGTGTTGTTTAGGGTTTGATTTGCATTTCTTTGATGAGTAAAGAAGTCAGACATCTTAAATATTTACCAGCCATTTAGACATTCTCTCTTATGATGAGCATACTCAAATATTTTGCATAATTATTATTATTTTTTTTTTTTTGCCAAGTCCACATGGAATCTTAGTTTCCCAACCAGGAATCAAGCACATGCCTCCTACAGTGGGAATGCAGAGTCTTAACTACTGGATTGCCACAGAAGTCCTTCAACTTTCTATTGAGTTGCTTGACTTTGTCTTACTGATTTGTAGAATTATACATACATTAGAATGCAAGTTTTTTGTTTTATATATAGTAAATAACTTCTCCTACTCTGTGGGTTGCCTTTTTACTTCTGAAAATGTATTTTTTAAATAGGTCAATTTTCATTTCTTTATCATTTAATGTTCTTATGAATGGAATAACACATCAGATAATGATGTGTGTCCTGTCTTAAGAAATCACTGGCTACTCCAGCCAAATAGATGCTTCACAACACTTTATTTGTAAAGCTGTGTTTTATCTTTCACATATATTTAATGCATTTGAAATAGATTTTTCCCTCTGGTCTACAATGGGAGTCCATATATAAGTTTTCCAAAGAGTTGTCCAGTTTACACATCATAACTTATTGAAAACATCATCTTTTCCCCAATTCTATGTACTGTCTGTTTCATTTGTCATAAATATCAGATACTATGGGTTTCCCTGGTGGTTCAGTGATAAAGAATCCACCTGACAACGCAGGAGATGCAGGTTCAATCTCTGAGTCGGAAAGATTCCCTGGAGAAGGAAATGGCAACCCACTCCAGGATTCTTGTTTGGGAAATACCATGGATAAAGGAGCCTGGTGGGCTATAGTACACAGGGTTGCAAAGAGCCAGACATGATTTAGCGACTAAACAACAACACTTAGATGACTATATATGTCTGGATCTATTTCTTACTTATTTCATCATATTTATCTATTTACTTGTCCTTAAATCAGTATCACATTGCATTATTTTAGTTTATATCTGGATAGCAAGTCTTCAGTTTATGGCTTTGGCCTTTTTACACTCCATTTGTCAATTTCCAGAATTAAAATTTTTTAAAAACTGATTTAAGTTATATCATATTTGTATAAAGTCTAAAAAGTAGTTTGGAAAGGATTGGCATCTTTATGCTTTTTCCTATTTATAATCTATCTTTCCACTTTAATTTTTCAAATATGTTTTGTAGATTTCAGTGAAGAAGTTTTATATGTCTTTCAATTGGTCTATTCCTATAGATTTTTTTTTAGGGAGGGTATTGCAAATAGTACTTTCAAGTTTGTATTTTACATTTAATTATTGAAGTTTTATATATATATATATATATTTATATATATATACATACACACACACACACACACACACACCCCTTACCAGGTTTGCACTATTAACATCTTGCATTAGTATGGTACATTTGTAATAATTATTAAATCAAATTTGATACATGGTTCATAACTGAAGTCCACAGTTTATTCAGATTTCCTTAGTTTTTAGTTGAAGTCTTTTTCTCCTTAAGTATCGCATCCAACATACATTACATTTCTTTGTTGTTTCTTCTTAGGCTTCTATCAACTGACAGCTTCTCAGAATTTACTTGTTTCTGATGGATTTGATTATCTTGAGGTGTTCTGGTTGAGTATTTCATAGAATTACACTCAATCAAAATTTGATGTTTTTCTCATGATTAGACTGGGGTTATGAATTCTGGGGAGGAAGACCACAGAGGTAAAATGTCATTTTAATTATATCATGTTAAGTATATATACTATCAACTTATGTTTACATAGGATACATTTGCAATAAAGTTAGATTTTCAGGTTACAATCTTTACTCCTTGGGAGTCTCAAGTTTCTCATTAACTTTTAAATTGTGTACATTGAGGTTTATGTGCTGCCAAGCTGAATATATCTTGACAGCTGTATAATGTCTCTTATTACTATGGTATCACACAGAATTGTTTTATTACCCTAAAACTTCCCCGTACCTCATCTGTTCAGCCCTACTCCCTACCTTTGACAAGGGTCTGTACAGTCAAAGCTATGGTTTATACAGTAGTCATGTATGGCTCTGAGAGTTGGCCCATAAAGAAGGCTGAGCACTTAAGAATTGATGCTTTTGAGCTGTGGTGTTGGAGAAGACTCTTGAGAGTCGCTTGAACTGTGAGGAGGTCAAACCAGTCAATCCTAAAGGAAATCAACTTTGAATATTCTTTGGAAGGACTGATGCTGAAGCTGAAACTCCAATATTTTGGTCACCTGACACAAAGAGCACACTATTTGAAAAGATCCTGATGCTGGGAAAGATTTGAGGCAGAGAACTGGCCACAGAGAATGAGATGGTTGGATGGTGTCACTGACTCAGCGGACAGGAATCTGAGCAAACTGTGGGAGACAATGGGGAACAGAGAAGCCTGGGGTCCCACAGCCCATGGGGTCGCAGAGAGTTGGACATGACTTAGCAACTGAACAGTAGCAATAACAACAACTTCTAGATGTAAAAATATTCTATTGTTTGAATTAATCAAGTGTGTAATAGTTTCTTATGGCATCCCTAGGAAAGTAATTAGACATCCAAGTGTCACAATGACCTCATTTGTTAAAAAGACTTTTCTTTTTTGAATTGTCTTTGCATGAAGCTAAAAGAAACTGGAATTAGGTCATTGTCCTTGCACCCACATGAGGTAGGGCTCTAGTAAAATCTTTTCCCCTGGAGAAAAGGTCTTTTTATGGAAAATGCACTGGGCTTATTTAAAAATGGAGACTTTCCTCTTTTCTTGACAAAGATTAGGAGGTGATTTTTTGGCTCTTCATCATTAGAACCTGGTGGAATTTCTGCTGGTGAAACCTATGAAACACGGTGGTCTTTCCTAAGACTGGGGCCCTGAGAAGTTTGTCACTTATCTAGGTCACACTCAGGCTCCAGAAATTTATTGAAATTATCATAACTCATTTTATTTGGTTAATTTATATTGTAACTTTTGAATTTGATAAATATTTGTTGATTAGGTATTATACAGCAGAAACTATTTCTCAATGGTGAATAAGAGAGAGAGTTCATTTTCTAGTGGGGGAGGAGAGGGAAATCAAAAGATAATTATAGAACAGAGATAAGTGCTATGATAAGGGTAAGTCTAGGGCAGTATGAGGGCTTCCCCAGTGGCTCAGTGGTAAAGAATCTGCCTGCAATGCAGGAGATGTGGGTTCGACCCCAGGGTTGGGAAAATCCCCTGGAGGTCATAGCAATCAACTCCAGTGTTCTTGCCTGGAGGATCCCATGGATGGAGGAGTCTTGGCAGGCTCCAGTCCATAGCTTTGCAAAGAGTAGGACGGGACTGAAGCGACTGAGCAGGCCCGCATAGGGTAGTATGAAAGTATATTTCTCTTGATTCATACTGGGTTTTATTTTCAGATTATTCACATAGGATAAAGCACAAAAATAATGACACAGCCGTATTGGGAGAAAACGTGACGATTTTCTGCAATTTAACAACTCCAGCAGATGTTGTCCAAATTACCTGGCAGAAGACCCAAGATTCTTTGCCACAAAATATTGGCACATATAGCCGTAAAAATGGAGAAAAGATTCTTCCACCACACATAGATCGGCTGCACTGCAAGGCCATTGAACCCAATTCCTCATTCATAACTATCCGAGAGGTGACATTTGAAGATGAAGCCTGCTACAAATGCTCATTTAATGTGTTCCCACATGGAAGCCATGGAGGACAAATCTGCCTTAACATTATAAGTATATAAATATTTATGTGAAGTCAAAATTGTGGGGATTTGGTCTTTGATGGTTAAGATCCAGAGAAAGAATTTTAGAGAAGAAAAGACTATAATAGAGGTAATTCAGGCTAAGTCTTTTATTATATGGAAGAAAAAATAGAAATCAATGATGATTACATAATTTGCCCATTTTTACACAGTGCAAGACCAGGCAAAGCATTTAGACCCTCTGCCCTCTTATCTAACATTTTTTTGTATTAGATTGCACTGGCTTCAATCCATTGGATAAATCTCATGAATGGCATGAGGGTTTTCACTGGGAAAGAGATGAAAACAAGAAGACATAGTAGAGAAGGAAAAAGGAGAAAGAAGATGCTGAGAGAATAAGAATTTCCCAAACTTCAAACTGACAAGACATTGAAGGAATAGTGATAGTGTCATAGTGTCACCTCATTATGTTACTATAAGTTTAAAGTATTGGGGGTTTATATAATGTAATTTTTTATACTGGAAGAAGTATGATTTTTAAAAATATTTTACCCAAGTTATGAAACATAGGTAGAAGTTTCTCATAGGAAATGCTACTAAAAATTGTTCTTAAAAATTTCTATTTTATTTTGTACAAAAGTTGATCAAATACTAAATATGCTCCTTGAAAATGAGAATCTACTTAGCATCACAAATAAAGATAAAGACTGCAGAGGAAATTGAGGAATGAGCAAATGAAGATATTAGGATTCTTGCATTATAGTGTCAAAACTTTAACATTTGACTATTAAAAATGCTAACAATAAAATTCTAATTAATTTTAAATTTAAGTGTTCAGAATGTAATTTCAAGGTTGACTGGAAGTGGAGATCCCATTTGTTCCTCTCAGATTGAAGGATAGCGGGTATAGGAGTTGCAATCAGGAGGTTTTGTAATACGTGAGAGAGAGAGGGACATCTTTTCAACATTCTGTTTTCTATAAAAAATTTTGGGAAGTCCATCTTTAACACCATAGACATCTGGGGTGACTTTTTTATATTTAATTTTGTTTCTCTCTCTCTCTCTTTGCCTCAGCTGAATCTGAATTAAGAACTGAACCCCAGAACAACCTTGATTCTGAAAATTTTCTGAGATTTATTTACTCAGCTGTAGGAAAACCTGCTCTTCAAATACCTCTTTTCCCATTACAAGTCTTGGTCAGTTCCAGAGGAATTCCTTGCTCTGAACCCCAATGGCACAGTTACTGTCACTAAAATGTATAATATTTCCTTGGAGACTGTGCTTCCTGAGACTCCAGCTCTGACTGTGCATGTGGATCATGTGCATGTGCATCCTCTGAGGGATGAAAGTACTATTTCATTGTTATTTACTACCTGACCAGTTTCATGTCTCTTTTTCTCTCTTCCTGAATTCTTTTAGGTTAATTATTTGTTTTTATTTCATTTCCCACCTCTTTGTTAAGTATACATTCCTATACCCTTCTACACCCTTTAAGTGGCTGACTTGGAGATTGTAACATATATCCTTGAAATATTCCCTTACTATCAAGTTTTATACTGGCCATCATTTATTCATCTTTTGTAGGTGCGTTTCCACAGCTTCAATGTCAACAGGGCTGTTGTCACTGCTTTCAAGAATTAATATGCTTTGATTCAACTTTCCAGAAATTCAAAAAAGGAGTTTCCTGCCTCATTGCATAGCCTTAAATATTTTTAACAGAAAGAGAAGGGCTCTTCGCTTATCAGCCAACTAGAGTTCACAGAAGAAATTTACTATTAAGAGTTTACTATTCAGAGAGTAGTACTTCAAAGCCTAGGCTTTATAATGAGTGAAATATTTTCTTTCTTTGAAATACACAAGGCAAGTCATTTATTACAGATTATTTTGGGAAAGAAACTATAGCACCTCTGCATATCATTTGCAGAAAGCTCAAGCTAATAAATTTTCCAGAATCTTATTTGACTGGACAGCTTGCATAGCTTGAATAATGCTATATTCAGAGTTGGTGACAGTATTGAGTAAACCACATTGGTTAGCCTACTTATTCTATTTCATTAAGATATCTTTAGCATAGTCTATATTTTTGGTTTTTATAAACACAAGAAAATGATGAAAAGGATAAAGTGTCTCCATAATTTGTCACATCCACCCAAGAACCAAAAGCATCACTAGCCTTCAGCAATGTTGATTCATAAATTTTGAATGACTGAAGGAGACATCATCTCTTTTGGAAATCTAACAGTTTTGTATATAACCAACTGTAAAACTATTGAAATGAGTAGTCTAGTAAGCAGTCCAGATGAGCTAAATATAACCTCATTTAGGCCTGGGAAATCTCATCAATCTCTGAATTAATAAAAAAAACTCAGGGCTTCCCAGGTAGCTCAGCAGTAAAGAATCCACCTGCCAGTTCAGGAGATGTGGGTTCAATCCCTGGATCAGGAATATCCCCTGGAGAAGGAAATGGCAACCCACTCTAGTATTCTAGACTAGAATACTAGTCTAGAATTGAGTTCAAAACTCAATGCTGTAGATCAGAACAAGCAGCTATTTTCCTAGTGACTCTGGTGGTCATGCTAAAAGACCACAGAATCTATCCTATGGTCTTAGAATGCTTTTACATGTGATGATATCTTGCTTGTTATACAACTTTAAGCATCGTTCTGGCCTCAGAACAGAGTATTTCTCTGTTACCTTGACCATCTATTGTTACTGATAAGAAGCCAAATGTCAGTCTGATGATTGTGATAGTAAATATTACTTCTCAATGGTGACATAGGCTCTTCTACTATTAGACGTTTGAAACTTTCTAGTGCTATTTTTAGTAATAGTTGTCTTCTTAAAAATCCTTTAATGTAATGGAAATTTATTTGGTAGGTTCATTCAATCCAGAGACTCAAATCCTTCAACTCTGACAATCTTCTCATATCTTTGAGACTTCCCCCCATTCATATAACATTGTCTTTTGATAAACTTTATTAAGCGGCCATTAAAATATTTAGTTTGAATTTTATATATTTTTTTAACATTCGTGTCTCTTTTTCTTTCTTCAGACTACTGAGAAAGTTTCTAAAATTTGTCTTCAAACTCTTCATTAACTGTTTCCTTCTTTTGATAATCAAGTTTATAATTCTGAATTGCTTTTATAATTTAAAATTAATTTTACAAATTATCTTCCTACTTTAAGGAAATAATATCTTCTCAAATTTAAGAATAATAATTTAGGGGTGTTTTAATTGTCTTTAATTATCTCTACTGGTCCCTGCCTCACCTTCACTACCATCATTTTATGTTATTTTTACTCAGTAATTTCCACTTTGATTACAGGCTTTCTTCAAAGTTTACAGATTCTTGACTGGGAGTTTAAAGTATCTTCATTTGGTTTATTGCATCTTGTGAAGAGCTAAATTTTCATTTGTAGGGAGCAGGCAGCAGTTAACCAGGAGACTCTGAAAGTCAGAATGTAGAGCCTTTCCTCTGGTGCTCTGATCCCCTCTACCTTAGCTATTTCTGCATATTTAATGATTACTTGAACCTCTATGTTTTTTGCCTGAGGAGTAAGCACTTGGCTGTCCAAAGTTGTGCTTTGGGATATGGAAGTGATGCTTTTGACTCTAACCTTTACTCTGTGATTCACTATTCCTCCCTTTGTCATCTGAATCCTGAGCCTCTCCCCCTAAGCCCTGCAGGGCGCTCAGTGCAAGAACAGTCTGCTTTGTACATTCGTAAGCCTGCAGTTTCTTTCATCCTGCACCTTCATAGGCCATTCTGTACTTTTTACATCTTTCATACGCCTGTTTAAACTTCTTGTTAATGGAGATCTCTCTTCCATCTACTTGTCATTTTTCATTTAATCATTTTAGTTTTGTTACTATTATTTTAATGAAGTCTCAGGAAAGAGTAGAGGTAAGTATTTCTGTTACATGTATCCTTTCAAACGGACGTCAATCAGCCTTTTTCTCCTGGTAATTTTCCCCAAATCATGAGATTGAGTTATAGCAACTAAATGGCATATGTATGTCCCATCAATCTATTGAGTAGATTATTATGGTTAATTTCACTTCTTTTTTTAAAAAAATTTATTTCTCATTGAGATACAAATGTCTTCAAAGATGTAACATCAGTTCAAAAGAGGATTTTTCCGTGTTTATCTTTAAGGTGAGGCTAGTGGAAAAGAGCCCACCTGCCAATGCGAGAGACATTAAGAGACTCAGATTCGATCCCTGGGTCAGGAAGATCCCCTGGAGAAGGGCATGACAACCCACTCTAGTATTTTTTCTTGGAGAATCCCATGGACAGAGGAGCCTGGTGAGCTACAGTCCATGGTGTCCCAAAGAGTTGGACATAACTGAAGCGATGTAGCACTAGCTTTATAGAACGTATTTGGGATATAAATCCCTGATTTTGCTTAAATCTAATTTAGAGTTTCCTCCCCTCGCCCCATTTTTTGCCATTGACTTCAGGTCTGTGTTCAAATCTTTGTGCCAGATTCTTTCCATTCAGCTTCCTCCACCCATTTGAATGAGCTATGCAGTATCTCCCTGAAAAAAGACAGAGTTAAAAATAGAGAAGAGGCAGAGTGATATGTGACCAATCAAAAACAAATGGCACAAAGCTTTTCAACTAAAATCTATGATTTTCTAATAGTATCTCAGGGAAGAAGTAACTGCTAACAAGAATTTATCTTCTTTTCAATGATAATAAAAAACTAAAGCAGCAAATTAAAAAGGAATGAGAGGTTACAATAAGCAGACAAATGACATCAATCTGACAAAGAGAAAGAGGACAAAAACAAAGATGCAAAATATACAGTAGTTCTTGCCACTTAACATAAGTGAAAATTTCCTTAAGATCCATCCACCATGAGGTACAGGTTCATTTTTATGCTACACCTAAGAACCATTATTGATAATCACAATGATGGTCTTTTGTTAAACTGAAGTTATAATATAAAATATATTTCATATTCAGAAGGCTATATATAAAGAAGAAAAGTTTATAGTACAACTTAAGTACATTGTAGTCAAAACAGCTATTGTAGAAAGTGTTGATACTCAAAGTGCTACCATTTGTGTTTTTCCTTAAGCATGCAGGCCCCGGAGTCAGACAAAGAACCGCACTTGCTTCTCAGTTTTGCCACTGGGTAGTTTTGGGCAATTTTCTTACATCTTAGGGCCTCCGTTTTCCATTTTGTACCAAATAATTGTGCTCACCTCATTGATGTAAATAATTATAGGAATGGAAAATTTTCCCTTCTTCCCTTTTAGGTTCTTTGGCTAGTCTAGTAATTAAAATGATATTACAAATTAACAGGAGAAAAACAAATGTCAGTATATGTACACATGGGAGAGAACCGAGAAGACAGAACCTTTGAAAGGACTGACACCATCACCTTAAGTGCTATCTTCAGCTTTTTAAAGAAGAAAGATGTTAGGAGTGGGGAGTCTGTTATGGGAGGTTACCAGAAAGCCACTGTAAACATGGTAAGGGTGTTATGCAGATTTAAGTTGTTGCTTTCTCAGTTGATAAGAATTTACAGATTTAGCATCATCCTCTTCTTCCTAGTACAAATGGAGATTTCTCTTACAGATTGTCTTATAGATTTATTTTTCTTATGAACATCTTTCTTACCAAACAGTAACTTCTACTTGGTTTTCAGTTGTATATCCTGTTTTTAGCTTCTTAAAAAAATCAGCCTGAAATAATCCTTATGTGAAAGAGATGTATTTCAGGGTGGCAAATACTACTACCTTACATAATCCTTATAAAGTGTCTATTGTATCACTAAAAACATTAATTTAAATACTAATTATCACTGTAAATTTATTTTCTAAGGTTATTACAGAATGTTTGGAAATTCAATTTTAGTAACAGGATAATATTTCATTAAGTGACTATATTATATTTTGCTTAATGATTTTTAAAGTGGTTATATCTAAGTGGATATTTAGGTGGCTATATATATTTTTTTTAATTCTTGAGAGTGATAGAATGATAGTAAATATTGTCTGCTTTCAATTTGAATACTATTAGTATATTATTTTACAAAATGAAATGTGACAATCTTATAGTATCAATTTGAATGTCAACAAACCAATGGTAAACCAAAAGAGCATTTCAGATTAAAGGTACCAAAATGTCAGTATAGTACATAAAAAGAAGTATAGTCCCAAAGAACATATTTCTGGTTTGTGTTTTCTAGGTACTGCTGGGTTTTCTTATAACTGGCTACATACATTTGATACATTCTTTACTGTTTCATGTATTTTATTTTTCATCTTCTGTATTGTTCAGAGAAAGAAAAAGTAAATTGTATTATTACTACCTGTTTTCATAGAAAAGGTGGATTAAATAGGGTTAGTTTTAAATCTGAAAAAAAAAATTCCAATGGCTCTGGGAAAATCAATCATGGAAAGAATCATCACGGAAAACTTTTGTATATTCTTGGTGATTTTTTGCAGTCAAAGGATTTATCCTTATTAAAATGACATGCTATTTGGGATTGTTACAGAGTTAGGCTGTTAGTAATCATTCATGCTTACAGTAAATAGAAGGTTTCTCAGGTGGCACTAGTGGTAAAGAACCCATCTGCCAATGCAGGAGACACAAGAGATGGGAGTTCAGACCCTGGGTTGGGAAGATGCCCTGGAAGAAGGAAATGGCAACCCACTCCAGCATTCTTGTCTGGAGAATCCCGTGGACAGAGGAGCCTGGGGGGCTGCAGTCCGTGGAGTTGCAGAGCCAGACCCAGCTGTAGTGACTTGGCACACACGGTAAAGTGGGTTTAAGATTCTTGAGGACATACTGCGACAGGAGAGAATCACAGGGACTTCAGACGTCTGGTGGAAGGATGATCACTGGGTGGTGAAAACAGTGAGGACAGGAAACTTGAGATAAGTCTACCTGACAAAGCCACAGTAAGGCGACAGTGGTGTTACTCTACAATGCTAATATCATAAAATATTGATTTAGTTTTTGAATACAACAAACACTTCCTCAATGCCTATGCATTGTTCTCAGTGTGGGAGACAGTCACAGCTAAAACCTACAAGTTCTTTGCCTTTCAGAAGCTTGTGTCCTGAGGGGAGAGGCAGTCAAGGAAACATACAAGGAAATAAGAAAATACTGGGTAGCAATAAGTACTATTTAGAAAATAAACAGAATGATAAAATTGAAAGAAATCATGGGGCCAGTTTATGTTGAGTGGTCTCTTTGAGGAGGTGACCTTTAACCTGAGAACTGGGTAAGAAAAAAGTTGAGTAAAGTTCTTCTAGCAAAGAATATTCCAGACAAAAAAGGAAGAATTTGTATAGGTCCTCAGTTGGGAATGAGTTTGAAGTGTTCAAAGAATAATGAGAAGGTCAGTGCGACTAGAACAATGACTTAGAAATAGATGTGAGGGCCAGAACAGGTAAGACCCACAGGACTGGAAAGACATTTGAGCTTTTAAGTGTCTGCAATAATAACCCATTGAAGCAGTTAAAAGAGTAGAAGGATCTAGATTCATGAATCTGGAATTTACAGAGCATGTAAGGCCAGAGGTATGAATTTGGTAGTATACAGGGCATGTTCTCCAAGGAGACAAATCATATCAATATATTATTAAAAATCAATGATCAAAAACATTATTGAAAAGATATTTTTGATCTGTCAAGAGAGTTTGAATCTCCTTTTTCTATTCGTAGCATGCTTTACAATACACCGCCACTAGGGAGAGTGTTTGGGTTGTATTCATCTTATGTATCATCATAGTCTTTGTATCTGTAGGTCTGAAAATGTGCTTGAAACCACACTCCAGCTGAAAAGTGAAAGTGAAGTGAAGTCCCGACTCTTTGCGACCCCATGGACTGGACTGTAGCCTACCAGGCTCCTCAGTACATGGAATTTTCCAGGCAAGAGTACTGGAGTGGGTTAGCCATTTCTTTCTCCCAACCCAAGGATCGAACCTGGGTCTGCCGCATTGCAGACAGAGGCTTTACCGTCTGAGTCACCGGGGAAGCCCATAGGATTTACCTCTCCCTGGGGAAAGGTACTGCTGCTGAGACACCCCTAATGAACCACACTCCTTAGCGAACACAGGTGATTGGCAAATGTGTGGCTTTTGCTGTCATTGTGTATACTTCAAATTTAAGACTGAACCTTTCATATTAAATCATGCCTTTGGTTGCAGCAATCGTTATTTTAAAAATAAATGGGAAAAAATTGTTTATATATAGTTTCATGAATCAGTAATTTTAAATGAGGTTATAGTAATAATCGTGTCTTTGAATGTTTCAATTCATTCCCTGATTCACTGTCTATTCCCACCTCCAACTGTCACAAATTGAATGGCTTATCTGATTTTGGGTTTTCTTTTTTCCTGAGTATTAATAAGTATGAGCATGCTTTATATAGGTTTCCCCTTCTGAGAAGTTATTGTCTACATCTTCATATGACATTGGGTTGGTTGTCTACATCTATAGATATTCATTAATATCCTAGATTCTGTACATACTAGATATTGATTACTCTTCCCTATTTGGCATCACTCAAATCTCTCAGCTATAACATTAAAAGAAAAGAAATCTTTAATGCTTTAATGCTGTTAAATTCATCACTTTTTTACCTAATAGCTTGAGTTTGGAATCTTATTTAAGAAGTCCTCATCTACCTAAACTCACAAAAATATAATCGTATTTACTAGCTTTCTATTTTTCTATTTTCCATTTAGGTCTTTAAACCTTTATACATAATGTAGACCTGATAATATAGTGTTAATTTTCATCATATAATGATCCATATTTCCTGACATCATCTGCTACATGCTCTATCCTTTCCTTACAGATGAGCTTTATTTCCAGCTCTCTCAGGTGGAACTTTTGTTCCACTGTTTTTTTTTTTTTTTATGAATACATACTTTTTATTACTATGGTCTTTTGTTATGTGTTAAAATGTGGTAGGGAGAGGTTTCTATTTTTTCTTTTCAAACTTGATATTTCAATTGAAGGATACACAAACATATAAATGTATCATGAAATACGTTTAAATTCTTTAAAAAAATACAGCTGGAATTTTGGTTAGTCCTACATTGAATTTATAGGCTAATTACTTTTAGAAGTATTGGTATCTTTATGGTGTAATTTGCTCACCCTACGAATATGTTATCCCTTTATTCGTCTTTCTTAATGTTATTTAAAAAAGTTTAAAAATTTTCTCTCAGTAGGTTTTGTGGATCTTTTCTAAGTTAATTCTTTGGTACTTTTCATTTGTTTGCTATAATGAATAGTAACTTATTTTTTAAAATGAAATTTTCTAGCTTGTTATTAGTGGTTTAGGAACAGTTATTGATTTTGTGGGTTAACCTGTAGCTGGAAACCTTGCTAAACTGTTTATTTATTCAAAGTTTTTCTGTTGATCTAATGATTTTCCACATAGATCACCATCTTGCTTGCCTGTAATGACATTTTTGCTTTAAAACACTTCTGAATTTAAAAACAATGTCTAAAATTTCTCTATGATATCTGCTGCAGTGTTTGGCCTTTAAGCATATTATCAACTTAAGAAGAAGTTCCATTATTTCCATTTTCTGTGGTTTTATCATATATAAGTTTATCATACTTAAGTAATTTTTTTTGTACTTGCTGAGATAGTGACATGAACTTTCCAAAGTAGTTCATAAATACAATAAATTCCATTGACAGATTTTCAAATGCTAAACCGTTTGGGGAATTTTTTCTGCTTTATAAATGAAACTGAACTATACTTTTATTTTTTGGAATCATCTTTCCTTTCTATGAAATAAAATTTCAAATTGAGGTTTTGAAATTAACACTCAAAGAAAGAGCTTAGTCATATAGTATTTCTCCTTTTAGAAACATGTATAAGCTAGAGATTTCTATTCCTTAACAGCCATCTGGATTTATAGATTTTTTTGGCAGGGGAATTATTTGATTTCATTTGAGTTCCTTTCAAAGTTATTGGATTATTCAATTTTAAATTTCTTATAGTGTATATAAATTCATTTCTATTTTTACATTTTAATTCATTGTGGTAAGAACATTTAACATGACATCTACCCTCTTAATAAAAATTATAAGCATACAATATAATACTATTGATTATTAGTACCATGTTGTAGAGCAGATCTCTAGAACTAATTCATGTTGCTTAACTTAGGCCAACTAACTAGTAACGTCCCATTTCTCTCTCCCCAGCCCCTGGCAACAATCATTTCACTCTGATTTTATGAATTTGACTAGTTTAGATCACTCACATAAGTGGACTTATACAGGATTTATCTTTTGTGACTGGCTTATTTCCCTTAGAATAATGCCCATCATGTTCATCCACATTGTCATATATTGCAGAATTTTTCAAGACTGAATAGCATTCCACTATATATAACACATTTTCATTATCTATTGATCTGCAGGTGAATATTTAGGTTGTTTCTGCACCTTGGCTAATGTGCATCATGCTACAATTGATATAGGAGTGTTAATATCACTTTGAGATCCTGGTTTCCATTGTTATGCATAAAAACCCAGAAGTGAGACTGGATCATATATGGTTCTATTTTACATTTTTTGAGAAACCTCTTCACTGTTTTCCAGAACAGTTGCATCATTTTGCATTCCTATTAATAGCAATCAAGGTTTACAGCTTCCACATATTCTCACCAACATGTGTTGTCTTTTGTTTTTTAAGAATAGCCATCCTGACAGATGTCAGGTGATATCTCATTGTGGTACTGATTTGCATTTCCCTGATAATTTGTGACACTGACTATTTTTTCATATACCTGTTGGGCATTTATACCTTCTTTGGAGAAATATCTGTTCAAATTCCCCACCTTTTTGTCCATTGAGTTATTAGGGGTTTTTGTTATTGTTGTTGTACTTGTGTTTGTGTGTTGCTATGAGTTGTAGGAGCTCTTTAAGCATTTTGGAGATTAACTTTGTTGGATATATTGTCTGCAAAAATTTTTTTCCGGGGTTATGTTATCTTTTATTACTAGCACTGATTAATTTAAAAACACATTTGGAAACACATCCCAAATAAAGTGAAAGTTAATTTTAGAAGCTCATTAGGCCAGATGATATGAAAATAAATGGGAGAAATAAGGTGCAGAAGCTCATAATAGTTTCCTATACAAGCACTTTGGCTCTGAGGCAAGAGCTTTAAGATTGAGATGGAAGACAAACCCTGACACTGAGCAAATGTCAATGCTTATCCTGGAGCTACTTGCTTGTGTATCTGAGTAATTGTTTCCTCTTCCATATCTGGAACATACATGAATCGGTTATGGTTTTAAATGTCATTAATGACACAGAAAACATTTGCCTGCTTGTGATGGTTTTATGACTGTTAAAGACTACTGGAAGTATTTCTCACATTCTTCAGGTTGCACTTTCACACTGTTCATTGTTTCCATTGTTGTGCAGAAGCTTTTTAGCTTGATATAGATTCATGTGTCTACTTTTGCTTTTGTGGCCTGTGCTTTTGGTGTACATCCTTGAAATCATTGCTAAGACCAATGTCGTGAAGTCTTTCACCGATATTTTTTCTAAGATTTTAACAGTTTCAAGTCTTACATTTAAGTCTTTTGTTGATTTTGAATTGACTTTTCTATATGGTATAAAGTAAAGGTTCAATTTCAGTCTTTTGCATATGAAGATCCAGTTTTAACATTATCATTTGTTCAAGAGACAATTCTTTCTCCATTGTGCATTCTTGGCACCCTTGTCAAAAATCAATCAACTGTGTGTATATGGATTTATTTCTGAGTTCTCTATTTCATTTATTCATGTCTGTCAATACCACAGTTGCACAGTTTTAGTCACTGTAACTTTTGTACTATACTCTAAAGTCAGGAAATATTATACCTCCAGGTTTGTCCTTCTTTCTCAAGATTGTTTGGCTATTATGGCTTTTTGTGTTCCATATGAATTATAGATTTGTTTTTTTCTGCTTTGTAAAAAATGCTATGGGAATTCTCATAGTCATTACATTAAAAACTTAATTCTACTCCTTCAGGAGCTAGAAAAGAAAAAAAAAAACTGAGCCTAAAGTTAGCACAAGGAAGGAAGTTACAAAGACTGAAGAAACAGAAAATTTTAAAAAAATAAGAAAAAAAAAACAACAAAACTATAACTTGGATTTTGAAAAGATAAAAATATTGACAAGCCATTAACTAGACTAAGAAAAAAAGAAAGAAGACAAATAAATAAAATCAGAAACAAAGCAAGAAACATTATGATTGATGAACAGAAATGAAAAGGGTCATAAGAGACTACTGTGAGATATTATATGCCACAAACTAGATAATCTAGAATAAATAAATTCCTAAAAGCATACAACCTTATCAAAACTAAGAAGAAATAGAAAGTCTGAACACATCTACAACTAGTATGTAAATTGAATCAGTAACCAAAAACTTTCTAGTAAAGAAAAGTTCAGGATAAGATGGCTTCACTACTTCCCTGGTTGCTCAGATGGTAAAGAATCTGCCTGCAATGCAAAAGGCCCAGGTTCAGTCCCTGGGTCAGGAAGATCCCCTGGAGAAGGGACCAGTTACCCACTCCAGTGCATTCCCTGGGGCTTCCCAGGTGGTGCTAGTGGTAAAGAACCCACCTGCCAATGCAGGAAATGAAAGAGACCTCAGATTGATCCCTGTGTTGGGAAGATTCCCAGGAGGAGGGCATAGCAACCCATTCCGGTATTCATGCCTGGAGAATCGCATGGACAGAGGAGTCTGGTGGGCCACGGTCCATAGGGTTGCAAAGAGCTGCACACAACTGAAGTGGCTTCAGTCTACCAAACATTTAAACTCTACCAAACAGGCACCAAATTCTACCAGACATTTAAACAAGAATCAATGCCAATGTTCCTTAAACTCTTTCAAGAAATTAAAAAGGAGGGAACGGTTCCAATCTCATTTTATTAGACCAGATTTACCTGATACCAAAGGTAAAGACAACACAAGAACAGAGATATATTATATAACAAATATATTATGTTTGTGCAATGTAATTATGGTTTTGGACTGTGAATTTTAAATCATTATAACTAGGCTCAAACACATCTTTATTAGTCAAAAT